CACACGTACTCGATCAGGTACCATGTATATACCCGATCGAGTACCCGAATCCCATCCCAAAAGCCTATAAATACACCTCCTTTCCTTCACAAAAAGATATCCAATTCCTTTGTACATCTAAGCTCAGTATAGAATAGTTCTTTCTTTATATTTTTCATCATGTTTAGTCTCCAAATGAGGAGCTAAACTCTTCCATCTTGGTTTTGCTACTTTGAAGCTTAATGAATTTGTAAGTTGTGAGTTATTTTCTTTAATCTTCTTCCTTGAATATTAATTCTTTCTTTTAAAATACTATCTCTATATCAAAGTTGGGGAGTGTTACTAAGATGACAATTAGTTAACATCTTGACATTGGTTATAGTAATAGCTATTTCTTCCTCTATGTTAATATTGGGGAGTGTTACTAAGATGACAATTAGTTAACATCTTGATATTAATCATAGTAGGATTCATATTCTTTAATATTCTTCCTTGAGTATTAATTAATTCCTATCCATATTTCATATTAATATCTTAAACATTACTTAAAGTATCAACTAGTATTGTTTCTCATATTAATTATTACTAGAATCAATCGGTTAATACGTTTGTTATTAATCCGGTTCTTTCAACGGTAGTAAACTTGGAATATTAATGCATGCATCTCATGGTTAATATGCCAAGGGGAATTAATTATATTGATTGAACCAATAAACCGCTTGTTGAGGTTATCAATCTCAATCGTTTTCATCTTAAGTTTATTGCTACTATCAAGTTAATATACGTCGCTTGTTCTATATTGACTCGATAGTAAGTTTTATTAATGAACGCATCTCGTTATTAATAACTACCCTCGATGAACTGGATATACTCCTCGATTGAGTATTCGAGAGGAAGATAGTTAAAGATATAATCGGGATCGACGAACATTTCATTAAGTGGATAAAAGCAAAACCAAGTCCTCACCTCATTGAATTAAACTCATATAGGTCGTTTATCTTAGTGTTTTTAAACCAAACAAATCTAAACCCCCCTTTGTTACTACTTATATAAAAGAAAAGTATTCCTTTCCCTGTGGATACGAACCTTACTTCGTTATACTACGTATAGTCGTTGTATTGTATTTATTTTGAGTGAACCTAACGACAAGTGCACGTCAATATGTATGAGGATTGTACTACAAGTGTTCGTATTGGTGTAGGGAGGATTGAAGAGTTCCCTATTACTATCGGAGTGCACCAAGGATCGGCCTTGAGTCCTTTCTTATTTGCCATAGTCATGGATGAACTTACGAAGTCAATTCAAGACGATATACCGTGGTGCATGATGTTTGCCGACGATATTGTATTGATTGATGAGACGCAATCAGATCTTAAAGCAAAGTTGGAAGTATGGCGACAAACATTCGAGAATAAGGGTTTCAAACTAAGTCGGAGCAAGACCGAGTACATGGAGTGCAAGTTTAGTGGAGGTAGAAGTAGTGGTAATAACGGAATTACTCTGGATGGTAAGGAGATACCAATCAGCGATTTGTTCCGTTACTTGGGCTCCATAATTCAGAAGGACGGTGAGTTAGATGGAGATGTATCCCATAGAATCAGAACATGGTGGATGAAGTGGAAGAGTGCGTCAGGATTTCTATGCGACCGAGGTATGCCGACTAGACTGAAGGGTAAATTTTATAGGACGGCAATTAGGTCTGCATTACTGTATGGCGTAGAGTGTTGGGCGGTGAAACAATGTCACATTCAAAAGATGAGTGTGGCAGAGATGCGCATGCTGCGTTGGATGTGTGGGCATACTAGGAAGGACCGCGTGAGGAATGAGACAATCAGACAAAGGGTGCGAGTATCACCTATTGAAAACAAGATGCGGGAGTCGCGCCTACGGTGGTTTGGTCATGTGCGTAGAAGACCGAGTGATGCACCTGTTAGACGAGTTGAGATGTGTGGAGAAGAGGCAGGGAAGAGAGGGAGAGGAAGACCCAAACAGACGTGGGTTAGGGGAGTTCGAAGTGATATGCTTCTTCTGGGGTTGGATGAGGGCATGACTTTGGAGAGAACTAAGTGGAGGGCGGGTATTCACGTGAAGGAGTGGTCTTGATAATCTTTTTCCCTCTCTCTCTCTTTTCTTTCCTAGTTTTTTTTATCCTTATATATATATATATAAGCATTATTTGCAGCCTTTTTTATTTTATCATTTTTATATATATTCATCTTTTTATATATTATCTTTTCATAATAGCTTATCTTTTTATCTTTATTCCTTCTTTTCCTTTTGGTTGTGATATCATGTATCGATTCATGTTAGCCGACCCCAATATCTTTTGGGACTAAGGCTTGGATGTTGTTGTTGTTGTTGTTGTATAGTTTATCTCTACATATATACTGACAATTTTCTTTCATCATTACATTACTTCTTTCTTCCTTTTGCTTATGGTTCGTTACGTATTTGGTATTAGTTACTGTTTTAAACTTTAGGTATCAGCTGGTGTTCTCCTTTACTCTTCTACTCCGTATAAAGGATTTATCAAGATTCATTTTGAAGGTATGTTATCTATATTTTCTATTCATATACTCAGTATGATAGAAGATTTTATTTTAAAATTCAGAACAATATTCTAGTTTGAGTAATAAAAGAAGATAATAGATATTAATGTTAATACCTGCAGGATATGATGATTTCTTGAAGGTTTTGAGCAGATTCGTGCTGATAACGTGTTATGTAATGAAGAAGATGAAGACTAAAATTATGAGATAGATATGTATAGATAAAACTCTCTGAATTACTTCTTCTTTGTATCTGAATATTTTCTGAATTTCTGAATTTTTTAAGTACATTTACAAGGCATCACCAAACCCCTATTTATACTGATTGAGCTTGGTGATGAATCATCAAAGAGTAATTCTACATATTTTGCTGGCAACATTAAAACTAGTCATCTGTCTATCTATGATTACAAGAATGGAAACTAGATTAATGTCCTCATTACAAGGATGAATATTCACACTTGTCAATTTGGTGGTTTTACAACACTAACAAGTTTGTTAAACTAATCAAAAAGAGAAAAATATTATTCCACAAAAAGTCATGTGTGTGGGATGGGTTATGCAAATATATATGTGTGTGTGTGTGGGAATTATTACTCCCTCCGTCCCGCTAACAACGGGACAAGAGGGAGTGACACGCAAATTAATAAAAAATGGTTTATGTGGTTGATATTGAATTAATAAAGTAAGAATAAAGTAAGAATGATTTAGAGCCACACAAACTTTATCAAATTTGGTATGAGACAATCTTAGTAGGACAGACCGATAAGGTAAAATGAGACAATCATAGCGGGACATAGGTAGTATAATATTAGAATTCTAAAATTCATGAGGCAGTTTAACTTAATTTAAAATTCAATCAAATCTATTTGTTGCTATACAAGACCACAAGATTAATTTATTTCTCATAAATTTATTTGTAATATATTTCCAGACATGCCACCAATTCATAGGGCAAAGCAAAAGTAGAAATTAAACAGGAAAAACTTAAGTGTTTAGGCGCCACCATACAAATTTAGTGAATTTTCATTCCATTTAAATACAATTTTACCAATATTTGCAATTTTATATCCAATTCAATTTCATGCCAAATGAATTTCTTAATATTATATTAACTACTTGTGTTATAACACACACATATATATCAAAACTTGTTCCTTATAAATTATGTTAATATTATTCATTGCAAAACACATCCAATAGCTTTTACTATAATTTATTGTAATTTGATTAAGTTGGTATCATATTGTTACTTTTAAAGTTTTCGCTATGAAAAGTTAATAAACAAATGGACCAAATAATACAAGATTTAGGTGCTTCAAAGAGAAAAATTTAATAAACAAATGCATCAAATAATAATATAATATTTTATACGGAGTAGGCCGTAAGGAGATGTATGTAAAAAAAGTTTAAATCGAAACTACCACCATAGACAAGTTTCGAAATTATTCCAATTTATTATATTGATTGTCTTTGAATTTCAGTGTGTTTTTACATTTTTCTTTTAATTCTTTTATTAAATTATTTACTTCATGTAATTAGTTTTAGTTTCTTGTCTGGGCATCAAATTTTCTAAAGACGGCCCTGATTTTGAACGTTAATATGCAGTACACATAGCGTAAAGTACATTGCACGAATATTTGCACAATAAACATTATTTGTACGGTTGTACCGGTGGGTGGTCCCTGACCGGTTTGGAACCGAGCCCACTATTGTGTTGGACTAGACCGGGCCCGAAAACGTGATCCCGGTGTAGGACCGGATACCCAACCGGGTACCAGGTAGTCCCGATTTCGGGTTTCAATATTTGGGACCGAATCATACAGTTTTGGTTCTGGTTTCGGTCCTGGATGAGCCATCTTTAGCTTGAAACTTGTTGAATAAATATAGCGGATCCGGGTCTGGGCCGAACCACTCGGGTACCCGATAGTGGCCTAGACCCGGGATATAGCGGTTTGGTTCGATCTTCTTCAAATAATTTTTACAATTAGGCATTCATTTGGACTGTTTTGGATACTAAGTCGGAGTCTGTCTCGTACTAGTTTTTTATTTTTGCAGAGGGTTTTACCAAAAACATCTCTCCCAGCTCATCTCCACTAGGGGGTGAGTGGGGGAAGTTTTGAATGGTTAAATACTATTTTAGTTAGTATAGCTAGTTTTGATAAATTGTACTCCTTTCGTCCCAATTTGTTTTGCAAAATTTCTTATTTTGGTTGTCCCAAAATGGTTTTCCACTTTCTATTTTAGATATGTAAATAAGAATAAAGTGACAAATTTACCCTTATTTTTACTTTTTTCCCATTAACTTAAAGATATCTACTTTTAGGAAGATGGACAAAAGTGTAAAAAGCAAGTATCATTTATTGCAATTCCTTAATCCTTGTGCCGATCAAAGTTTGCAATTTAATTCGGGACGGAGGGAGTTTTTGATTGTTTTAATATATTTACCTTTCATTCAATGAGAAGCTTAATAGATTCAAATGACTACCAATTGAGTGACTACCACTCGTATACTTGGTACAATTTTTAAAACCAACATCGACCAGAAGTCATAGATATGAATCTACTATTGGCCAGACAATTGTGAGTAGAAAAAGTTTATCTGGACTTCAATGTCATCATGTTCATGTATGTGTACTCTGAAACCGTATTTTTTGAAGAGTTGTTGTATCCTAGCATAACTCGTTTTTTCTTTATACAATTTCAGCTCCCCAAGTCCCCAACAGATCTGACTAACGCATTTGTCGTCGGATGTGGAGCAGCGTCCCTATCCCCGCCTCTATCGTTCCTCTCAACTCGCTGCAAGCAGGTCACCGTCACCTGTTTCGCCTCTGCCGATTTCTTCCAGACCGCAACCCCGACGCCGTCACTACGTCTGAAAAAATTCAACTGAAAACAACTTATTCGTGCCTCATATATCTGTACAATGGATAGGATGGACTCAACTCGAGTATTTGTCAAGGACGTTAAGCGCATTGTCGTCAAGGTTGCATTTTTTTTCTCTGTTTGTTTTTCATGGACCTGATTGATTCTAGAAAGACTTGTTACATGCTTATTAGACTGATTGTGAAAGTTGAGATATCATAGTTAACTGTTTTACGGACAATTTCATGCATGCCGTTATCCATTTTTATATGTTTGATAAAGGTACATACTTTTTAAATTTTGGCGCAACTCTTAAAATTCATCAAGCTCTACTTATATTTTTGAAATTTGTTATTGTAACTATTATTATTGTTTTAAGGGAAATTTATCATATTTAGCTAGTTTATAAACTATTTGGCAAATTATATGAAAAATAGCCTAGCTTTATCGTATAGCAAGTATGATTTTTTTGGACAAAAATAATTCTTATGAAATTGAACTCATTTTTTTGGGCAGAAAGAAGAATTTGAAAATACCGTTATTCTTAAAGTCATTAATTATGTATGGGCCTGCATTTATTAATTATTTATGTGAAGGTTGGGACTTCTGTTGTCACTCGATCTGATGGAAGGTTAGCACTTGGAAGGCTAGGAGCACTCTGTGAACAGGCAAATTTCTTTAACTTGTTATTCTATATTTCTATTCCCATCTATTATGCTGTTAATATTATGTATATTTGGATTATTGGTTCTCAACTTTTGTTTCAATTTTGTGCAGATTCAAGAGCTCAATTCTCAAGGTTATGAAGTTATACTAGTGACATCAGGGGCTGTAGGCGCTGGTCGTCAACAGCTTAGATATAGGAGATTGGTTCACAGCAGGTTCTGAAATTCCCCCTCAGAAAGTTATAGGCTTATAGCTGATCCTTCTTGTACGGACGTCCTCTTTAGGACACTAGAAGCAAGATAGCGAGCCTGTTTAGGTCTTTAGGATAAATAAATTTTGAAACTGAAACAGATGAAAGCCTTTTTTTTTTATTTCAAAAGAAACATGTTGCTGCTTTGTTTGAAATCAGAGTGAGTTTACTGAACTGGAAATCATCAAAAAATAAGTATACCTTTAAAAGAACTTTCAAAAAAAACCAAGTTGGTGCTCTTAAGAAATGTATTCATCTAGAAAAGTACTTTTTAATAGTCATCCTCCGGGCTGACTAAATACTTCATGTATGTAGCTGTAATATGAAGAAACTGTGTGGATGCAGTTACACTCATATACGAGTCAACCTTATGCAAATTCTTAGTAACTTCAATAAGTATTTTTATCAGGAAAAGGCCTTTCCTTGAGAACATATCACTGCTACAATTTTGGATGGAGACGTTTTGGGAGAGTTTAATGAAGGGAAAATTCCCTAAATAGGAGCAAAAAATGTTTTGAAATTCCAAAATAGGACTGCCATGCAATTATTTCCTAAATAGGAGTAATTTCTGCCAAGTTTGGCATTATCGGGCATTAAGCATGGCAGTTTTTTCCAAACTTGGCAGAAATTAGTCCTATTTAGGGAATACAATCATGACAGTCCTATTTTGGAATATCAAAACGTTTTTACTCCTATTCAGGGCAATTTCTATTTAATGAATGCATATTTGGTTCAAATTTACTTGATACCCCTTTTATTTAATAATCTTTGATCACACAATTCAGTTTTGCGGATCTTCAAAAGCCACAAGTTGAGCTTGATGGGAAGGCTTGTGCAGCAGTTGGACAAAATGGCTTAATGGCTTTGTATGATTCTTTATTCAGTCAGGTAAGAAACCATCGCTTATAGAGACATATATAACTTTATGTTTCTCTCTGTGCTAATGATGGTCTTTCTTGGCCAAATGGCCATTTGCTTACTTTTTATGATTTTCTGCATGAAGTTGGACATTACATCAGCTCAACTTCTTGTTACGGACAATGACTTCAGAGACCCAAACTTCAGGATGCAGCTTAATGAGGGAGTAAATTCATTGTTGTCTCTGAAAGTCATACCTATATTCAATGAAAATGACGCTATTAGTACACGTAAAGCTCCCTATGAGGTTTGCATCTAACTTTGCTTGGGCACATTCCTAATTCTGACTTTGTATACTGTGTGATAGTAATTGCATAAATCTTTGGAAAAAGCTGATGAGGTTTATATCTAGTTTATGAACTTTATTGAAATGTTTGTAGGTAAGTAACTTTATCCTATCTTGTAGGACTCTTCGGGTATATTTTGGGACAACGACAGTCTAGCAGCTCTACTGGCTTTGGAGTTAAAAGCTGATCTTCTGGTACTATTAAGTGATGTAGAGGGTCTCTACAGTGGCCCTCCTAGTGATCCTCACTCAAAGTTGATTCATACATATGTCAAGGAGAAGCATGAAGGGGAAATTACTTTCGGTAACAAGTCTAGAGTGGGAAGAGGGGGTATGACTGCCAAAGTAAAAGCTGCAGTTTACGCAGCTTATGCTGGAGTCCCTGTTGTCATCACGAGGTCTGCTCTCGTTTTCTTTTTGTAATTGTCTATTGCTCGTTGGTAGAACTCAGTTGAGATCGCTGAACTGGGTCCAAGGCACTTCGGCCAAACCACCCTAAAACATATCTTTGTCATTTAATATAGTATTATTATTTACCTTATATACATGATTAGGATGTGTATAAATAGCACCCTTGTAAACCAGTTTCATATGCAGAAATATATTCAAAAACATTTGTTCTCTATTATTAAAAACATTTGTTCTCTCCTCTCTATTATTAAAAACCCATCATTCTGTTTTTAATTTTCCAATGCCATATGTTATTGGAATATGCAAGGATGAGCATACACGCGTATAGAGGAACAAGAGGGTGGGGTGGATTTTGATATTTTGATATTTTTATGGGAGCTGAAATTTGAAATCAATGTTACACGAGCACCAAAGCCAACCAATAATATACTTCTGATTCAGTATTTGGTTTTTGTTGCAATAATTGATCTACGTTTATATCATGGTTTGCTAACTGCTCCCTTTTTATGGATATAGTGGTTTCGCTGATGCCAACATTATCAAAGTACTACGTGGGGAGCGTATCGGTACACTCTTTCATCATGATGCTAACAAATTGGATCCAGCTTTAGATGTTGGTGCACGCGAAATGGCTATTGCAGCCAGGGAATGTTCCAGGCGGCTACAGGTATCTTCTTTGTCTTTTCCGTGTTTCTTAATCCTTAGCAGCTAAAAATTGCCAACTGCATGCTTCTTTCTGGGATAGGCACTTGCTCCACAAGAAAGGAGACAAATATTGCTGGATATAGCTGACGCACTGGAAGCGAATGAAAAAGTGATACTCAGTGAGAACAAAGCAGATGTATCTGCTGCCCAGCAAGATGGTTATGATAATTCGTTGATATCTCGGTTGGCCCTAAAGCCCGAAAAAGTATGGCACTTCTTAACTATGTTCGAATTACTTCGCATTATTTTACAGTATTAGGATAAATGGTTTTGGAGGAGTTTAGAGGGGAAGGCTTTAGAGGGCTCAGCCTATATCTTGATAAACAGGATGATGTATCTAGAACAAATGAAATTTTCTTGAAATGTTATACGATCATATATCATGTTAGTCTTTCAGCATCAATTAAAATCTCGAATGTAAATCAAATACTCCCTCGTCCCTTATAACTTAGCCAACCTTCCTTTTTTGGATGTCCCAAAAACTTAGTCACTTTCACTTGTAAGTTATAAACTTGTGGATCTTATTAATTCTCTTTTCTCTACACAAACCTCGACCCCACTATTTTTACTTTGTTAGTTCTTGTGCTGGTCAAACTTGGCCAAGTTATAAGGGATGAAGGGAGCATAAGCTAAGCTCCCAAAAGCCTTTCTCCTCCAAACTGACCCAAAGGAAAATAGTTATGAGGGCTTCTTTTGATTTTTTACTTTATGTCTTTATAGATCTCAAATCTTGCAAAGTCAGTACGTGTGCTTGCAGAGATGAATGAACCAATCGGTCGCATTTTAAAGAAAATAGAGGCAAGTAACTCAAACACTTGGTGTTTGTGTTTCTACGGGGAAAACTTAGTTCACTACTGTCACTAGTTGGGAATAGATCACTATGAAAATTGTAACAGTGTACGAAAAGATCACTATGAAAATTGTCTTGGAATCCAGATCACTGATGGTTTCATTTTGGAGAAGACGTCATCTCCATTGGGTGTTCTTTTGATTATCTTTGAGTCGCGCCCTGATGCACTTGTTCAGGTATATAAAAGATATAGATTTTTTTGTTTATTGCTTTCTCTTGGGCTCTTTGATAACGTTAATCGGTTGCTCTTGCGTGTGTAGACCACTGGCTTTAGTGACTTATAGAGGTTCAGCTACAATTCTACAAACATTGAGAAAAAAATTGTTTCTTGATTTTTGTGTCTAAATAGATTGCTTCACTAGCAATTCGGAGTGGCAATGGACTTTTACTGAAGGGTGGAAAAGAGGCCAAAAGATCAAATGCAATCTTGCACAAGGTTTTACTAAGATGCGTGTACATTGTTATTTTTTTACTTATCTGCTTCTAAAAGAGGACTATAGATTCATTAAAATACATGTTCTCATCACATTTTTCTGTTTATCGTCAGGTTATTACGTCATCCATCTCAGAAAGTGTGGGTGAGAGACTTATTGGACTTGTTACTTCTAGAGAAGGGATCCCTGAATTGCTCAAGGTGCATTGGTCAAGCGATTTATTTGAGCATTTATGTGACATGGATGAGGCATAAACTGCCTTAAACTGTTTAATTTCATATGCAGCTTGACCTTGTAATTGATCTTGTTATCCCAAGAGGCAGCAATAAACTTGTTTCGGAAATCAAGTCTTCTACAAAAATCCCAGTTCTTGGTCATGCTGGTATTAACTAGCCATACTTCATTCTGGATTATATTTCTTGTAATACTACTTCTGAGTCATTGAGTGGGACATATTGTGTATATTTGGTTTTTTGTTATTTGTATGTTTTTTCATCAATTTTCCATCATTTGCACCAAAGATTCATTTTTTTTTGGCTTGAGATTATGATGGATTAAAGCAAAATGGCTCACTAAACTGTTTGCGCTTCTTTGTTATGGAGCAGCAGTCTGTCCATGCAATTTTGGACGCGATTTTCACTATGGGTCATCCGGAAACTGTCTCTCTGTGCTTTAGTACAGGGGTAAGACTGCGTACATCCGACCCCCCCTTACCCCACCGTAGGTGGGAGCCTTTGCGGCACTGGGGTAAATGAAAATGTATGTTTTTTCATCAGTGCAGCTACCCTTTGTTGGTGAATCTTCTTGTTTTATTCATGTAGATGGAATCTGCCACGTTTATGTTGATAAATCTGCTAACATGGATATAGCAAAGCGTATTGTGTTGGATGCAAAAACAGATTATCCTGCAGCATGCAATGCAATGGTATTTTTTTCAAATTTATTATTTAATGTTTCTACCATTGTCTGAAACTGTGAAAGTGCTTTGCTGCATCATTAACACATTTTGCTCTCCTCCTTCACAGGAAACACTTCTTGTGCACAATGACTTGGTGAAGAATGGTGGACTTAATGATCTGATCATGGAACTTCAGACAAAAGGTGCAGCTTCTTTGCTCTTTTCCAGAAATATTTATTTGATTCCTCAAGATGAATATGTGCACAGAGATTTAATGATTTATTTGATACCCTTCCATCAAGCCTCAAACTGTATACTCGATTCTCAGGCGTGACTATATTTGGAGGACCAAAAGCAAGCAAGATCCTAAATATTCCAATGGCTGATTCATTACATCATGAATATAGTTCTCTGGCTTGCACTGTGGAAATCGTTAAGGATGTATATGCTGCCATTGATCATATACATCAACATGGAAGGCATGTTCCTCGGTCTCTATAATTGTCATTTCTATAAACTTATACATCTCACTGTTTAGCTTACTGTAATACTTATGAGCATATTTTTTCATTTCAAAATGCTCTCAAAATCGCGTGATGTATTTTAACATGTAGATATATAAATGGTGCCATATACAACAGGACGTATTGGTGCATTTGGATGCCTCAACTGTTGAATGAACCAAATCAGTAGCTAATTACATTTAGTTCTCTAACTGATTATTTAGGGGGAAATAATCAGAAATGGTAGATTGAAATGCACATACATCCCCCAAAAATGTGTGTGATTAATTAGTTCTCATGATAATTTTCATTGAACTCATACTCGACCAACTGGTCTGACCAAGTAGCTGGTTTTGTCATTGCAATAGATTATAGTTGCACTCGACCCGTGATGACAAACTCACATAAATTTTTACGGGTTGAGTGCAATAGTCTAACCAATTTTTTAGACCAGATTAACATAAAAAAATTGTGTTGAATGCACATAAATTTAAGCTACAAAATCAGATTATTTTGGTTGGAATTTCAAAGAGGATTATCTTCAGACAAAATGTAATTGGGTTACAGTTTTGTTAATTTAAGCCTATTAGTATTATCTTCAGAGATCACTTTCTATTAGTTGTTTTAGATTTTTAGCCCATTAGTGTTACTCTGTAGTTTTTAGTGTTTTCTCGTTTTGTACTTGGCCTACGGAATTTATTTATATGAATTCTCATTCAAAGCTGGGGTTTGACTTGGTACTGGCAGTGCCCATACTGACTGTATTATCACTGAAGACAATGAAGTTGCCCAAGTGTTTTTACATCAAGTTGACAGGTTATCCACTTTCTAGCATGATATTGTCAGTCATTCTACTTTTACTGCAATTTATTATTTTCACAATAAATACTGGGGAGATATACTACTAAGTAAAGCTATATGACAGAGCACCAGTTTGACACTTTGACTTCACAGTTTTTAAGTAAATAAACACTGTTTGGCACTGTTTGGCACTGTTTTGTGTAGAGCCAAATAAGGTAAATAAGGAAGTGTAAAGATCTTTCTGGTACTTCTAAAAATTGAAAGTGTAAAAATCTTTCAGAACCGGAAGGAGTATTTATTACTCCCTCCGTCACATTGGATTTCGCCAACTTTAGTTTTCTGACTACCAAAATTGTTGACACTTTTTCATTAAAGCTATTAATGTGTTTTTGCTCATTTTTCTCTCATTTGGAGAAACCTCAACCACAAAATATTGACTAAAGGGTCAAATAGGTATATGAACTAACTTAAAGTGTTTAATTAGCCCCTTATTTAGGAGGTTTTGTCCGGCCGTCGCCAATTGGGGCGGTTCCCGATGGAATTTTTTGATGATTTTTTTTAGCATTTTCATCATTAAGTCTAGTTTACCCATATCAAATTTCAGCTAAAAATTAAATCGGGAAAACAGTCAAATGATTTTCCCAAATGTACTGCGCTGTTTTACTGCGCAGTTATCTTCAAAAAATCATTTGACTGCCTTCCCGGTTGAATTTTTAGCTGAAATTTGGTATGAGTAAACTAGACTTAAAGAAGAAGATGCTCAAAAAATTTCATCAAAAAATTTCACCGGGAACCGCCCCAATTGATGACGGCCGAGCAAAACCTCCTATATAAGGGGCTAATTGAACACTTTAAGTTAGTTCATGTACCTATTTGACCCTTTAGTCAAAAATATTTATTTTTATTATTTCTCACCTAATTCAAAGTTGTCAATATCTAATGCCCTAATGGGACGAAGGCAATACCGTAATACTAAATAGAAATGGCAACGTTTTTTTAAACGATTAAATAAGGAAATTTGACATAGTTTTATGGAATGTGAGAATATTTTTTTTTTCTTTTCCTTTTTAATATTATTTTTGAAATAATTATAACTGTATATGTTGTGCAGTGCTGCTGTATTCCACAATGTAAGCACAAGATTTTGTGATGGCTTCCGCTTTGGACTTGGCGCAGAGGTAGATAAAATTGGGTCATGCATTTTAGATTTTTTTTTTGCTATACGCCTCTTGTACACATTGTTTGTACATGCCTCTCGTACACATTATTGGTACACGCCTCCTATTTTACCTGTGTACACAGACAGATTGAGCGTGTAAAAGGGCGCGTACACGCCCAGTGTGTACACCAAGAAGGACTGGGCATTTTAATCATTACTCCGTCTATGAGTCTATCCCTAAATGATCAACACATTTTCCTTTTCTGCCCATCCTTAAATCTGTACATTTTAATCGTTACTCCCTTCGTCCCTAAATTATTTCATCTCCTCTGTATATGTTTCAGTGACATATTTTTGTGTTCCTTAAATTCTGTGCCAGGCAGCCAGTTAAATTTGGTTGATAGTTAAGGACTGAGGTAGCAAGAACTGTTATATGTTTGAGATGTGCACTAATGAGCTAGTTAGTTCATTTGTGCTTGAACAGGTGGGGATTAGTACAAGTAGAATTCACGCAAGAGGTCCTGTAGGCGTTGAAGGATTGCTAACAACACGATGGTATGATTAATATATAACTTCTTTTGAATCAGCATGAAGATTTTATCAGCTTATTGTTGTATTTTACTTATTTTTCATCATTTGCAATGGAGCCAAAAATTCATTATTTTTTGGCTTGAGATTATGATGGAATAAAGCAAAATGACCCACTAAACTGTCTGCGCTTCTTTGTTATGGAACAACAGTCAGTCCATGCAATTTTGGATGCGATTTTCACTATGGGTCATCCGGAAACATTCTCTCTGTACTTTAGTACAGAGTTAAGACTGCGTACATCTGACCCCCCTTACTCCACCGTAGGTGGGAGCCTTTGCGGCACTGGGGTAAATGAAAATGAAAATGATATTGTTGTATTTTACTTCACACAATCACACAGTTAAGGGCCTATGATAATAAGGGGAAATCACGTATATGATCAAAGGAAGACCTATATACAAAAATCCAGAATCACTATGTTTAATGGGACTAAAGCGATAATGAAGGATACAATTAAGTTTCACTCATATAATACTCAGTAATTTTGCTTCACAATGAAAGATGGAAAATATATTTCATCCACCGGCCACCACCATCACTCTTCGGCCACCACCATTACTCTTCAGCCACCGGCTACCACACGGGCCACCGGGTTCTGTCCATTACCGCTATAATTATGATACCATCGTCCTAAATTTATATTGCCATCATAAAAATAGAAATCTGAATATTGTCATATTGAAAGTTGAAACACTGACAATGCCAAGCATACTTGGATACGATTTTCACTCAATAATTCGGGCTGTATTATTGTGACAATAACGTGACAGTATTATTGGTTTTTTGTGATAGTTTTGATCGACTTATGAAATAGAAAACATAATATTGCCAAAATAAAAACATTATATGCTTATTAAAATATAGCGATGTCACTAATAAAGAAGGGAAACGATATAAGAGTGAGGTGCAGTTAACAAGAAAAATATAGACTTATGATGAGATTATCTAATTGAGGCAGGGAGGAAATGTGTTCTCTACTTCTCTTTAATACTCCCTCCGATTCGAAAAGAAGTTCCATCTTTTTTTTTCGGGCCGATTCAAAATTAAGTTCCACTTTCAAACATATTCTTATTTGGTAAATTATCTACATCAAAACAGTGTTCAAACAGTGCCAAACAGTGCACTCCACAGTAAAGTCAAATTTATTTTCTTAATATGTGTGAAGTCAAATGTGGAACTTATTTCAGAAACGGAGGGAGTATCTTTTAACAGGGAAATACTAAAAGTAGTCGTGTTCATACAACTGAACCATGTTTTATTCTTGTACTATTAATAGCTTTAATTTATTAGCATAAATTGTGTGCACAAAAAATATAACAACCTCCATTCTGTTTCAAGTCTAACAATTTACTAGCTCCTGTAAATCTTTGAACATTAATTAATATAGTTATTATGTTTAAGTTGATATTATAAAAACATTTGATATTTTAAGATTTGCATTGTGGTGAATCTAATAGTACTCCATCCGTCCCGAAATAAATGTCCTACTTTCCTTTTCGGTCCGTTTCAAAATAATTGTCTTGTTTCCTCTTTTGGCATTAATGGGTGGCTCATATCAATTCACCCTTTTCTACTCAAATCTTAACCACAATTTTTACCTTTTCAACCACTTTCTTAAATCTTGTGTAAAAGCAAAGAAGACCTTATTTTGGGACGGAAGGAGTAGTATTTGATTTTAGAGTATTTCGATTTTATATGCTCCGCATTAGTAGGAAGCCACGGGCAAAGTATAATGTAGGTGGCAAAAGTTGAACGTTGCGGTAAAAAAGGAATGTGAAGTACTTGGAAGTTGGAACTTAGGCCTGTTTTAGGGCCTTGCGCAATCTTTAAGCTAGAGCCTAGTAGCTAGATGGGGTTTAAGTGGGCCAGGGAGCATATTTAAGAAGATGAGTGGTCAATTCAGAAAAACAAATGTAGGCACCGGTGGTCGTAGCTCATCTGGTAGGAAGGGAGTGCCACAAGGGTTAGGTCCTGGGTTCGAATCCCGGCAACTGCGATGAGGGGTTACTATGCTAAAAAATGCATAGGGCCTCTGCAAGTACCGGGGACAGAGCCCCACTCTCTATCTGTCAGATTGGGATTATAGTCCAACTTACATCCTCCCAACGTACTGTCCGGTCGGGGTTGGGGGGCCCTCAGGGATGGGGTGTCATCCTTTTTTTTTAGAAAAACAAATGTAGGCAATCAGGGAGAGTGTACTAGAGTAGTGTCTACCTGGGATTTTTTTGCAACCAAACCTCTTCCAAAAGGTTGAATCCCAAGTCCCCAGAGCCTCACCTCCTGATCCGACAAGACTTTTGGGAGGGTGTAAGTCACAGTGACTAATTGGAAATATACTTCGTGTGTAGGGGTTGCGTGTGTCTATTTATACGCTCAAGTTATATTACAGTTCAAATAAAAACATCCTTAAGAACCATTATTATTTACTACGTAATTAGTATTTAGAAAGGAATATGTATTATTATTTACTACGTAATTAGTACTATGTATTTAGAAAGGAATATGTACATTCCAGTTGCATGTCTCATACTCTCATAATTAAGAGAGATTTCCCAAAATAGGAGTAAATGAAGTTTGAAATTCCAAAATAGGACTACTTTGTTTTTATTCCCGAAATGAGACTAACATGGCAGTATTCACTGTCATTTTGTAGCCGTGACTGTCAAATAGTTGCAGTGCAGTGCATTTAAAATAACAGTATTTATTATAATTAATGACAGTATTTTTCATACATAATAGTAATAACTCCTATTTCGGGAAGAAAAACATACTAGTCCTATTTGTGGAATTCCAAGTGTCATTTGCTCCTATTTTAGGTAATTTCCCCATAATTAGTGATTTTTTTTTCATAATTAATGATTAACTTGGAATTTTGTGTGGTCAGGATTGGAAGGGGAAATGGCCACGTGGTGAATGGGGACAAAGAAATAATATACACTCATAGGGACCTCAGCTGAGTTTTCAGGCCATTGCAGTGGATAGCTTTTTGTTCTGCAGATGCTTCGCTCCCTAGTTGACAGTGCATTTTTGTGAAGAGAATCTCTGGATATGCTGAACCACCGTCGCCAGCTATTTTGGTGCCCTAGATAAAAACAAAATATCTATCAAATCTAAGAAACTATATACACATATGTTTATATATACATATATATCTTCATGTCAGGTGATGGATTGGGGTTCACAATGTTTTGTACGAGTACATAACTAATCCATTACATAATTTATTTATGAGATTTAGTTGTGAGAGGAATATTGAATACGATATTGTCGTGCATGTGTTTTATTTTAATGATTAGCACTTCATTTAATAACATTAAAATTGTCTGAATAAGTTGATTGTTTTGAAATTTATTAAGTTTTGGTTGGATTGGTTGATTTTGCTGAATTATGAAAAATTATATTTAAAATATATATTTTAATAAAATATAGAAAAATTATATGAAAAATACGAGTATTAACTTCAACCACTCTAGCAAGAAAACAAACTTTAATCTTATATAAATGGTCATCTACGGTACTTTCAATTATGTCAGCGAGAAGAAATTTTATTCTTACTTTGATTATTATATAATTCTGTGTGCAAATTTGAAAGTCGTGTGTTTGGTGAAAATGTTATTTAATAAAGTTGATAAATTAAAAAATAAGATCACCAAATGGGTTTCTAAATGATTTTTTAGGTGCCATATTTTTTTACACTCGTAACATGCCAACGTATAAAATTTCCGGAAGGCATATCACAATAATAGTATAATACATTCGGCGAGAAAATAAATTACTACGGAGTATGATTAATTGTCATTCACAAGCACAAAAGGAGCGGAGAATTCGTAGCTAGGGTTCCCTAGCTTACAGAGATCGAAGGGGATCATTTTGCTTCGGCAAGGTAAGATTGGGAAGGCACACAACAAGGTTTTAGGCGTGACGAAGGAAGTGGCGGGTGACCGGCATAGGGACGGACGTCACAGGAAGGCTAAACAAGGTATTCTATGAAGTGTCGGGCAGCTTGGCAGACGGCATTGGTGATTCTCCAGGACGGCAGGTTTCGGTTGCTCAGGAAGACGAAAGCAGGAGAAGGCGGCAGCGAGTTACTCTGTCAATCATAAGGAAGGTGGAAGATCCAGGATCAACAAAATTCAAGGCTTGTGGCGGTGGTCTTTTACGAGGAAACCAGATTAAGGGATTGAGTGGAAGGCTTTCCTTGATGTGGCATAGAGAATTCCAGATTCAAGTGATGGGAGAAGAAGTTGAAGAATTGATGACCCGTCCTCCTCCTGAACCGCCGCCATGGAGGATATATATGACGCTTGTGTTGGAATAAATCCATGAATACTTTAATCTTCATATTGAAATTATCTGGAGAATTAACTGAGCGGAAGCGTACCTGACTCCATGGGAGATGGCCTTTAGAGATCCGGGAGACGGAGGCTAGGGTTTGTGTCTTCTAGTTGATACACACCCTCGGGATTATCTCTCTAGCGATGGGATGCAGAAAGACAGAATGGCGTGTACAACTAGGGACCATAACCCCTTATTTATAGAGAGTGCTTAATCCTAATCAGCCCATCATTGATTAGGTCAAGCCCATGGATCTCTACACATTTGGGCCCTATACCTTATTAGATAACTTATTAGCCCACTTAAATTAATATCCATAGGACCACTAATTTTTGGGCCTAAATATAAGATAGCATATAACATACAATTAAACCCGATAAATAATATATTGTGAATATTACATGCAATATAAGTCCAATAATCTAACAATCTCCCACTTGGACGACATACACATGTATACACAATCCTCAGAATTGTATGTTTACTTTAGGAGCTCCAAAATTTTGCTATCAAACTGTAGTCATCTTTAATCAATCCGGTCCATTAATTATATCAACATAGAATCAAAGAAGTCTTTGCTATATTTGAATAACTAGACCCATCAATGATCACATATATTAATATAATAAACAACATGGATCAAGTATAGGTGTGTAGCGTGGAAATAACATAAAGTGTGGTCTGGAATAGAATGTCTATTTCCAACTGGTCCACCTTGAGATCAATAATATAACTGTAAGAGTACATAAAACTTTAAACTTAATTTCTGCAGAAAATAACCTTAAAAACTTGAATCAAGTCAATTAACCAAATATAGAAACATTACAAACTCCCACTAAAACTCATAATCCTCAACTGATTTGACACCCATTTGTGCAACATGCTCATGAAACACTTTGGGTGGTAATCCTTTAGTGAGCGGATCCGCAATCATGGAGTTTGTGCTAATGTGCTCTATAGATAACTTTCCTTCTTGTACTCGTTCCTTAACAACCTTAAATTTGACCCCAATGTGTTTTGCCTTGGTCAAACTACTGTTGTTCTTAGCATAGAGGACTGCTGATCTATTGTCACACAATAGCTTAAGCGGTCTTTCAATGCTGTCCACTATGCGTAGTCCACTAACAAAATCTCGCAGCCATAGTGCCTGATTGGATGCCTCATAACATGCTATAAACTCTGCTTCCATGGTGGAAGTAGCTGTAAGAGTCTGCTTGATACTCCTCCAGGAGATAGCTCCTCCAGCTAGAATATAGATGTAGCCTGAAGTGGATCTTAAGCTATCTTGACATCCAGCAAAATCAGAGTCGGTATACCCAATGATCTCAAGCTGATCCGATCTCCGATATGTGAGCATATATTCCTTTGTTCTCTGTAAATACCGCATGACCCTTTTGGCTGCTTTCCAATGGTCCATTCCCGGATTGCTCAAATATCTGCCTAACATCCCAACAATGTATGCCAAATCAGGCCTTGTACAAACCTGGGCATACATCAAACTTCCTACAGCCGAAGCATAAGGAATGTTCCTCATTTCTTTAGATTCAAAACCATTCTTAGGGCACTGCATGAGACTAAACTTGTCTCCCTTAGAAACTGGGGTATCTCCTGGTTTGCAGTCTTGCATACCAAACCTTTTGAGAACCTTATCGATATAGCTCTTTTGTGAGAGTCCAAGAACGCCTTTGGAGCGATCTCGGTGAATTTGAATTCCTAATACAAAAGAAGCCTCACCAAGATCTTTCATTTCAAAATTCTTTGAAAGAAATCTCTTAGTTTCGTGTAATAAGCCTATATCGTTAGTAGCAAGCAGTATGTCATCAACATACAAGACCAGGAAAATATGCTTACTCCCACTGAACTTGTGGTATATACAATCATCACTGACATTTGGTTGAAAACCAAAAGATATAATGATTTTATGAAACTTGTGATACCACTGACGAGAAGCCTGTTTGAGCCCATAGATGGATTTCTTTAATTTGCAAACCATTTTCTTTGAATCCCCCGAAACAAAGTTTTCTGGTTGCTCCATATAGATTGATTCCTCAATGTCACCATTGAGAAACGCAGTTTTTACATCCATCTGATGAAGCTCAAGATCAAAATGTGCCACTAATGCCATTATTGTTCTAAAAGAGTCTTTCGAGGAAACCGGAGAGAAAGTCTCTTTATAGTCAATTCCTTTCTTTTGAGTGTAGCCTTTAGCAACAAGACGAGCTTTAAACCTTGTAACATTGCCCTTTGAATCCCTCTTGATTTTAAATATCCATTTACAACCAATGGGTTTAATACCTTCAGGCAATGAGACTATCTCCCAAACGTCATTGTCACTCATAGACTTCATCTCATCTTTCATGGCATTAATCCATTCTTGAGAGTTAGAACTTTCCATGGCTTGACGGAAGTTGATTGGATCATCTTCCGCAAAACCAACATTTGATTCTTGTTCTTGGAGGAAGACAATTATTTCTTCCACCAATTCCCAATTTTCCTCATGTTCTATAAGAAATACAATATAATCATCCGGAATTGCGCTTCTCCTCTCTCGAGTGGATCTCCTTAATGGCACCTCAGGTTCTTGAGGTTGTTGAGTTTGATCCTCATTAACAAATTCAGGTACTTGATTGGGGATGTTTTCGAGATTGTCATGAACTGGAGTTGTTTCTTGAACATCATTAGGAATAAACATATCTTGATCATGTTCAATGACAACTGAAGGAAGAGTAACATGTTCTTCCTCAAAGACAAAATCTCTAACCTTATCTCCCCACCCCCCAAACTCAATATCCTCAAAGAACCGGGCATTACCCGTCTCAAAAATAGTCCTGGTAGTGGGATCATAAAATTTATACCCCCTTGACCTCTCAGAGTATCCTACAAAATAGCTACTAACTGTTCTTGAGTCCAGTTTCTTTTCATTTGGCCTATAAGGCCTTGCCTCAGCTGGACAACCCCAAACATGGAAATGATTTATACTGGGTTTCTTTCCAGTCCAAATTTCATAAGGGGTTTTAGTTGTAGCTTTAGTGGGAACTCTGTTAAGTATGTAAGCTGCAGTTTTCAGTGCCTCTCCCCAGAGTGAATCGGGTAAAGTAGTATGACAAATCATACTCCTAACCATGTCCTTCAATGTACGGTTTCGTCTCTCAGCAACACCATTCATGCTAGGAGTTCCTGGCATGGTGTACTGAGGAACAATTCCACACTCCTCTAGGTATTTAGCAAATGGCCCTGGACGTTGTTCACCGGAACCATCATATCTACCATAGTATTCACCACCACGGTCAGATCTAACGGTTTTTATTCTTTTGCCTAATTGATTTTCAACTTCGGCCTTATAAGATTTGAACACGTCTATTGATTGGGACTTTTCATGAATGAGATAAAGGTAACCATAACGAGAGTAATCATCTATGAATGTGATAAAATATGTTTGGCCATTTCTACATGGTGTAGGGAATGGTCCACAAATGTCCGTATATATCAATTCTAATAGATCTGAAGCTCTCTCGGCACCTAACCTCCGTTTGTTCGTTTGTTTTCCCTTAACGCACTCAACACAAATATCAGAATTTGAGGAGTCAAGAGAATCAAGAATTCCATCTGACACAAGTCTCTGAATTCTTTCTTTAGAAATATGTCCTAGACGCTTGTGCCAAAGTGAAAATGAATTCTCATTGGTTAATTTTCTTTTAGTACCACGAGTACTTACATGCAAGGTTTCATTATATGAGGTATTTATATCAAGTGAATATAGATTATCATAAACTGATAAAAGACCGGTGCCAATAAGTTTTGAATCTTGAAATAGACTGAACTGGCTATTTCCAAATGAACAAGAATAACCAAATTTGTCCAATGCAGAAATAGAAATTAAATTCCGCCTAAATGACGGCACAACAAATGTCTCTTTCAAATCCAAATAAAAATCAGTCTTTAATAATAATCTAAAAACACCGATAGCCTCAACTTCAACCCGCTTGCCATCACCGACATAGATGTATCTTTCACCATCAATTGGTTTTCGGCAGCTCAGGCAACCCTGCATAGATACACTTATGTGAGTAGTAGCACCGGAATCTACCCACCAAGTGTCTTTTGGTACCGAAATTAAATTAACCTCAGAACAAACAAGAGCAAGAGACATACCCTTTTTCGCACGCCAAGCATGGTACTTAGTGCAGTTCTTTTTCTTGTGATTAGTCCCTTTGCAAAAGAAGCATCTAGATTCCTTAGTTTCTTCCTTAGTTTCCTTGTGATGCTTCCTGGGAGGCCCCGAATTTGCAGCTTCCTTAATTTTTCTTTTATTGCTGCCCTTAGAGGTAGATGCCAAATGAGCACTTTCTGTCTTATCTTGCTTTATTCTCTCTTCCTCTTGAACACAATGAGAAATGAGCTCATTGAGAGACCATTTCTCCTTAATGCAGTTGTAACTGACTTTAAATTGATTAAATTGAGAAGGAAGAGAGATCAAAACTAAATACACAAGTAATTCCTCAGGTAAAATAAGCTTTAGTGCACTTAGTTTCGAAGCAATATGAGACATTTCCAAAATGTACTCCCTTATGTTCCCTTTGCCTTTATACTTCATGGAAACAAGAGTGCTCAAAAGAGTACTAGTTTCCGCCTTTTCGTTTTTAGCAAAACGCTTTTCAAGTTCGGCAATGAATGATTTGGCATCGGCCTCATCAGACATTGTGCCCCTGAATGATTCTGGAATTGCACGTTTCATGATCATTAGACTCATGCGGTTTGAGCGTTCCCACCTCTCCATCTCCCTCTTTTCATCGAGGGTAGATGTGTCCTTAAGAGCGGCGGGTTTCTCAGTCCGAAGTGCAAGGTCTAGATCCATGCAACCGAGAACGATCATAACATTCTCTTTCCATTCCTTAAAATTCGTGCCGTTAAGCACTGGGATGCTATTAATATTAGCAGATATTGTAGCAGCAGAATTGTTGACTGAAAGAGAACAAAAAATAATATAAATGATATGCTCTAGGAACTGAAATTAATTTGATAATTAATTTTAAATTTAAATATTAGCAATCCCCATCACAAGATACCTAACGCAACATCTAATCTTGTCTTTGGACATAAATTAGACTTACAAGTGGTACTCTTGGTGTGATAATAAAATCTTGTCAAATATTAAGCCTTTCTTTGGACCGACTTAATATTCACACGAAAAAACTTCATAATCATCACAAATTTTTTATTATCACAAATGTACTTAAATTTCGGCCAAATAATAACCTTCCTTTGGGCCAATTACTATCCGCATGAAATAAGAAAGTACACAATCATCTTAATATATGAGTTAATTAATTTCAACAAGAGAGGCTACTTTGGCAGCATGTTGTATCAATTAACTAACTCAAATATCAGACATGCTAATATTAATTCAAAAATCTGAAAAATAAAATTGGGCGAATTTTTCTGAATCACATGCAAAAGTGTTATGTATATCGATAATTTGTAAAACTCATACCAAATCACTGTGCGATCGCAAAATAGGGTTTATACATCCCATAACACACAATAAACATTTTTTTTAAACCGTAAATCATGATCACCAACAAAAGTAATCTATTTCAGTAATATCCAAATATGTAATTCTAATAGAACTAACATTAGCCGTAATTACATATAAGTATTCAATGATCAAATCGATAATCACATATATGCACTTAATATATTACTAAAGCCATAAAATTCCAAAATTAAATTACCGAAAAATGAAGCATATCAAAATTTAATTTGATACCGGTATTCTCGACTAAAGGCCTAATCGTTTTAAAACAAAATGGATTCCAAATCCAAAACAAATAAGCTAAAGGCTTGATACCTTAAAGAAAGAAACTGAAATTATGATTAGTTATGAATCAATTCAGCCACATCCAAAATAATACGGAGCAATTGACTATTGAATCTATTTTCCAGAAAATTGATGATGTAACCCAAAAAAAAAAACTATTCAATCGCATGATCGATAGATCCCAAAACAAAACCCAGAAAAATAACAATTCGACAATTATGAAAGTTGTAGTTGTCTAAAATATATATATATATATAATTCTACTAGATCATCAATTGTTGAATCAGCAAAAATAAAAAAAATACTGAAAAGTTACTCCTTGAATCGCAATACAGTTCGTCAATTCCACCTTTGAATTACAAAAAAAAACAGCACCGTAATTGCTTTACAGATAAAGTTGAAGTGTAACTCCAATATGATGGAAACGATTAATCCATTCAGCACCGATTCAATCATGGGAATACATAGGAACGAGTTACATAAAGGTAAATCGCATTACCTTAATTCCGATTGGCAAATTTCACAACAAGAAACATTATAAACTCAATCGTTTTGCCTCAAGATTGACTACCGATCTAATATATAAATATATTATGAACGAATTGCGTGCATAAACGCAAAATTACACTACCCTTATTTCAATAAATCGGTAGATTATATTGACTCCAAATAATTCAATATGAAGGAGGCTCTGATACCAATTGTTGGAATAAATCCATGAATACTTTAATCTTCATATTGAAATTATCTGGAGAATTAACTGAGCGGAAGCGTACCTGACTCCATGGGAGATGGCCTTTAGAGATCCGGGAGACGGAGGCTAGGGTTTGTGTCTTCTAGTTGATACACACCCTCGGGATTATCTCTCTAGCGATGGGATGCAGAAAGACAGAATGGCGTGTACAACTAGGGACCATAACCCCTTATTTATAGAGAGTGCTTAACCTTAATCAGCCCATCATTGATTAGGTCAAGCCCATGGGTCTCTACACATTTGGGCCCTATACCTTATTAGATAACTTATTAGCCCACTTAAATTAATATCCATATGACCACTAATTTTTGGGCCTAAATATAAGATAGCATATAACATACAATTAAACCCGATAAATAATATATTGTGAATATTACATGCAATATAAGTCCAATAATCTAACAGCTTGAAGTATGGTTTTGGATACTCCATCAGTTTATTTTACTTAATTTTGTTTCTCTTTTTGAGTTTTTTTAATTATGAATCTGTTGTTATCGCTATTTCGGACACTAAGGAGGGTCGGGTTGTTGCTTGGTTTATTTCATTAGATAGGTTTCTGTTGGGAGGCTATCAGGTTGACTCAGCCGTAAATGTAATAGCGTTTTTGCTCTCACCTTTTCTGGGACTAGTCTCATCACTCTATCCGAGATTGACTATTCTATGTCTAATCATGACGTGAGGGGATCGATGAGCTTTTGATATTGTTCGGAGAGAGATGCATGTCTTAGGGACATGTTTCTTGTTTTGGTTCTTTTGATTTTATTATAAACATATACGAAGTATTATGGATGTAAGTACGAAATGATGGTGCATCACAGGGACAATTATTGTGTTACATAGACTGATAGACAATTACTAGTTCAATTTACATTTTTAAAATTCAGTTAATCATTCTTGAATTTTGATTATTCTGACTGTTTACCTCAACGGTTCAACGCATCAATATTTGTATCATTGAGTTTAAGTAAATGTCTGATTCAATAAAGGTTTTCTACAATATTCACATTTAAAAGTGAAAACAATTTAGAGGCCGTTTGGCAGACGAAAATCGGCTGTTCTGGCAGATTCTGCTAAAATTTATGAAGTTCTGGCTGAAGTGGCTGCATTGGCTGATTCTGCTGATACAAGAAAAAAATATTTTTAAAATATATTTTATTAATAAAATAAAGAAAAAATTATATGTAAAAATAGCTAAAATGGTTATCTACAGTAACTTCAGCCAATATAGCCAGAAAAGTAACTTCAACCTTACTTTTTCGGCTTATTACACAATTCAGGGCGCGAAGGCAAAATTTACTGTGTTTGGTAAAAAAGTTGACTGATAAGCCTGATAAGCCGAAAATGAGGGTTACCAAACGACCTCTCAGTATTTATTCAATAAATGTGTGATTCAATAATAAGCTGTAGTTGTTGATCACTATTCCTTAGCTATGTTTCTGTGAAGAAATGTTATTGAGAATAATCAAGAATGGGAAAGTGATGATTAATACTCATGACATCAATTGTTTTCAAAAAAAAACTTATGACATCAATTAATTCTATTTGTCTAAAATTTGGGTCTTAAAATTGTAAACACTTCCCAGCCATTAACCAATAAAAGTCATGTCTGAATTACAAGTAACCATTGTGACTTAAGATTATAATGATGGATTCCATTAACTTTTCAAGCATACATTTGAAATGAGGTAAATGTTGACATGTGGGGTGAATAGTAACCTAACTAGCTTCAAGGGAGGGATAATGATTTTTTCCTGTATAAAGTTTAATTGTTTAATCCGAGTCAATAAATATGGTGAAATAATTTAAGGTTATCAATTAATTAATGAGATGATTGAAATCATCTCCGACATTATAATTATTTCAGATTAATTTACTGTATTGTTAGATAGCTATATGTCTGCTCTACTGATTTGTGAATAAAATGTAAATCATTTATTGGGTAGAGACTTAGTGTAGACATAATTCAAATACAATGTACTTGAATTTGAAATATAAAACTGATGAAAACATAATTCAACACTATTATTATCATATTTGGAAAAACTGAAAAAAGTAAACGGGTCTCCTTCACATTTGTTAAAGTTTGGTGCAGAAAATATCCTACTTTATATATTTTACTTAGTGATGAATTATTGAGTTTTATATAGGTCTTCAATACGAGAGTACTAAAAAATATAGAAGTAAAAGATATGCATATGAGTTTTATATCTCATTGCAAAAATGATAAAATTGCAAACAGTTTTATTCCGGTAAAAATTAAAACACATGTATTTATATATTTCCAATTAAGAAAGATGTTTGAATCTGTGTGTAATGGTTCTTTTTATCAAGTTTAAATATTGTATTCTGACAATAAAATGATGTGTTCTTACGTTAAACATTTATCTCATTTGATCCTAAATCTCTTTCTCTCCATATATATTAGTCGAAATTCATAGGATTAATCCATACTTTTATGAATTCTACAACAATATTTCCTACTGAAAGTGTTCCTAAAAATAATCTGTACTAGCAATAGTATCTACAAGAATAAATTAGAGTAAATTCACACTAATGTCCATTTAATACTCTCAACCCCTATCTTCACTTTCCCCTTCACCACTCTTCGTCTCGATTAACACTTTTATGTTCCAACTTAGAGAGAACCATATATGAAGCAAATGAGTTCGAGATTAAATGTATTTGAATTTGAATTTGCCCCGAGAAGAAGATTAGGGAAGACAAAAGTGAGAGTAAGGGTTGAGAGTATTAAACGGGCATTAATTTGAATTCACCC